ATACGGTTTTGAGGACGATGAGTCTTTCACAGGATCGGTCTACAGGGTTGGTTGGCCACGTGATCTTTTGCCTTCTGTGTTCCAACCACGATCAGAACTTGAGGAATTATTCGATATTTTTAATCATAGCACGGCTAAGAGAGTTATTAGAGGTATTTGTATAATTAGGGTGTAAATATTTACCAATAAATTCCAATTAAGATTGTCTATAACCTTAATATAGAACTTTTTAAAAATAATTTAAATGAATAACTGCCTGGTTTGCCTTATCACAATAACCCTGACCAAGCTTACTCTTCATTATTTAACATGATTAATTCTCAGTTTAAGAAGGTTTTTACATCTAGATCAGTTTCTGTAAGTGATCGAGTTTTGTTTAGTGACTGGGCAACACCAGGTATTTTTAAAAGCAGAATAAGATTATTTGAATTATATAATGAAAGGAACCATGATCATAGTGAAAGGTTTAGGGAGTATGTTAAAAATTACTCTAAGACTTTTAAGAGAGCCTGCGCTGCCGCAAAATCTTTACACATTAAAAACAAAATACAATCTTCTGCAAACAAAATTAAAACTACTTGGAATATTATTAATTCTGAAATAGGAAGAACCACAGTTAAGAATAATGATTTTCATCTTAAAATTAATGATATAGATGTTAGGGCGGATTTGGAGGTGGCAACCGAGTTTGAATCTTTTTTCACTAATATTCCTGTATTAACAACTCAAACTTTGTTGTCGTCTTCCGGCTCCGCATACAACATACTTAAAGACTGTGTCGCAGAATGTGGGACAAGTTTTGAATTTACAGTTGTTAGTGCTAAGGACATTCTAGATGCATTTAAAGATTTAGAAGTAAAAAGTCCACCGATCTTTGGGGGTTGTCAGTTCAAATAATATCCTCAATAATTGAATGTATTTCCCCATTTCTGGCAATTGTGTTCAACTCTTGTGTCGCATCTGGTGTGTTTCCGGACTTAATGAAGTTGAATGAAGCAAGGTGATTCCACTCTTCAAATCTGGTAGTACAACCGATCCTACGAATTTTCGCCCTATCTCAATTTTGCCTACACTGAGCAAAATTTTTGAGAAAATAATTTTAAAGCAAATGCTAAAGCATTTTAACAGACAGAATCTTTTTCATTCCAAACAATTTGGATTTACTAAGGGTCGGTCTACTGCTGATGCAGGTGTGGAACTACTCAAAAATGTATTCGAGGCTTGGGAAAATTCACAGGATGCTTTAGGCATATTCTGTGACTTGTCCAAAGCTTTTGACTGTGTTTGCCATGACACACTTATCAAGAAACTACACCACTATGGCATTAGAAATAAGGCTCTTAGACTTCTCAGTTCATATTTAGACAACAGAATACAAAGTGTAGATATTAATGGCAAAAAATCAAAAGGATCTGTGGTAACTATGGGTGTTCCGCAGGGTTCAATTCTAGGTCCTTTCTTATTCCTTATCTATATCAATGATTTACCTTTTTGTGTAAGGGATGATCACAAAATCCTATTATTTGCTGATGACACTTCGCTTGTTTTTAAAGTTAAGCGTCAACTTGAAAATTTTGACCAAGTTAATTTGGCACTATCTAAGGTTGTCCATTGGTTTAATGTTAATAATCTGCTTTTGAACTCAAGTAAAACTAAATTAATAAAATTTTCTACGCCTAATGTGAGGCAGTTAAGCACCAATGTACAACTGAATGGAGTAGAGTTGGACCCTGTTGAGTCAACTGTTTTTCTTGGCATTACTGTTGACGCCAAACTACAGTGGGGCCCACACATTAACAAATTGTCTGGAAGGCTCAGTTCAGCTGCTTATGCTGTAAGGAAAATTAGACAAATTACTGGTGTGGATACAGCCAGAATTGTTTATTTCAGTTATTTTCATAGCTTGATGACGTACGGCATTCTCCTTTGGGGAAACTGTGCGGATATTAATACAATCTTCTTATTACAAAAAAGAGCTGTCCGCGCTATATATAACCTGGGTCCTAGAGTTTCTCTCCGAGAGAGAAATTCAAAGAGATAAACATTCTGACTGTAACTTCACAATATATTTTTGAAAATTTACTTTATGTTCACAAAAACGAACCTGATTTTGTCAAATTGTCTGATCTTCACTCCCGAAATACTAGGAACAAAAATAATTTAACAGTTCATGCTACTCGCCTTCATAGAATAAGCAACTCGTTCATGGGTCAATGTATACGCTTTTACAATAAACTTCCTATGGATGTTCGTAAACTTCCCCTTAAGAAATTTAATTTTTTTATTAAATCAAAATTATTAACTAAAGGATATTACAGGATATCCGATTATTTAAATGATAGAAACGCCTGGGATTGAGCTGTTCGCTTATACAGCTATCGCTTGTGTTTTTTTAAGCTGTCTTTCACTTTTTTTTTTTTTTTTTTTGCATGTTGTACATATTTACAATCTGACATGTCTTGTGCTTTTGCATATGCATTTTATTTTATTCTATTGACATGTTTGTGCTTAGTGCATATTCATTTTTTTACATTTTTTTTCTCTACATTACTGACATGTTTTGTGCTTAGTGCATATTCATTTTTTTCTTTTTCTACAATACTGACATGTTTTGTGCTTTTGCATACAATATTTTACACTTTGACATGCCAAGTGAATAATGTTTATATTACGATTATATTTTTCAATTTCATTATTTTTTCCTTGCTTTAAGGTACACCTTAAAAATACATTTTGTATCCATTGTAAGTGTAAACATTATGCGGGTATATCATGAACTCTTTTGCTTGATTTATAATTTGATACATTTTAGTATATAGTTATTTTGGGCTGGCGATCTGAGTGAGTTGTTGCCCCACATATTTTTATGGTGCCACTGGGGGTATTGCTGTGTACCGGGTTGTGCAGTTCCCTCAAAAATGGTTGAGCTGCATGAGCTATTCGGGGCATGCTTGCCGTCTGCTGGCACAGGCTTGCTCAGATCGATCTGGTTCTTTCTTCCAAAGACCAGTCCAGTAAATACTCTGCATTTGTTTACACCAATTTATTAATTTATTATTGTATTATCTGGACTATAAAAGAGACTAAGACCCCCGAGTTTGTTTCGACATTTCTTCTCAGGGCAGTCAGTTAGGAAATGTCGACTTCATCTAGTTTAGGATGACATTGTAAAAGTGATTTATATAGTCCTACTTGCAAGAATAAACTATTTCATTTCATTTCATTTCATATATGTTTGATTTCTGGTCCCTACACTAGGAAATTCCTGTGTTGTGGGTGTCCAGACTCCTAAAGTCACAATAAATTAACGTAATATGATGAATATAGTTAAATATTATAATGATGGATAGATTAATTGGATTAGATTGGAATGACAGCAGCTATAAACATATTAAACATATGTATAAATTAAAATATTGTCATTAACATTAGTTTATGTTTATAAGTTTAATTTTATTAATATTGTTACCATTACACTATATTCTTAGTTACCTATATGAATAAAGTTATTTGTACATAAACATATTAAATAGTATGTATAAATTAAAATATTGTCATTAACATTATTTCAATTATTGATAAACATTTCGTTATTCTTACAAAAACCCTACATTAAATTGGAATTAATAATCGATTATTGTATAAATTGGTTTATTTAAATGCTAACTATAAATTATAGTTTAACTTAACCACCTGTATAATTACAGGTCTAATCAACAACTACTGAGTGAATTAATAAATACCAAAAAATCTAACTATTATAACTATATTGAAATACACAATTTTCAAATAGGCAAATCTGTCAATAAAATTTATAATCATGTCGGAATTTGCATATAAGATAATCTATTACCGGGAGCGTCTATTAATAATAAATTCTAAGATTTCTCTTCCTTCCTACATAAGTCATGTATAGATAATTAAAGCTGAAAGGGGCTTAGGTCGAAGTTCATACTATTTCAATACGTAGTACATTTGTACGCTTTATACTAGAGGCCCGCTTGCGCTGCCCGTCCATCTTTTATTTTAAAACCGTATATTGCGAATTGTATACGACGATAATCACTAATTGTATTAATATTATAGAGCTGAAGACTTTGGTTCTATGCGGAAATCTAAAGAACGTCTAGTTCACATAAAACTCTTTGGTTGTTTGATAGTCAATTTATGTAGGAATTGTAGTCGCGCTCTAATGAATTGACGAGGGTTTAAATATTGCTTTCAAAATACCGGTTCTATTAAAATATGTAGAAAATAAAGTGTATCATTCATGTAGAAACGAGCAATAACTATTGGTATGCAATATTTGCGCTTTCAAGAAAACTAGTACTACTCGTATGATTGCTGTTTATAATATTCTTGTGCGAAGTACTTTCGTACTTCTTAGTAAGTACGTAGTGCCGCATTCTTTTTCGTATGTTCGTATGTACTGTGCCCTATTCTTTATCATGTGTCCTTTTGTATAATCCCTTTCACTGTTTACATATGTTTTAATTACTTTGTATCGTTCCATTCGTTTTGTCTAAGTAATTTTATGTCTTGTGTAGTTTTTCACTCCTTGCGCTCACCTTTAAAAAAAATCTCTCAATAATGGCCTGGGAGGGATCGCCGCCAGTTTTCCTTTTTATATAATTACTTTAATTGTACTGTATTTCTGTATTACTACAACGAAGTGTAAATAAATATTTTGGAATACTTTAGTGTAATTATTGGGACCCCCACTATGAGGTCCACAGTAAAGGGATAGAGGGTGTACAAGCGTTTTCGTTGGCTTTTGTCTTTTATACGCAACTTTGCAAAAATATTCCTATATCACAACACTAAACACTTCAATGCCGTAGGGATCTGCTGGTTCTTACAAACTGCGCAATAATATGCTATACTCATCTCATGACTTGTTTAAATTGAACATTTCTTAGAAGTTAAACGTGAAACGTGAAAAAAAGCGGATACATTTTTTATTCTCATTGCTCTTAGGGATTTACGCTCCTCTTAACAGAATGGCTAGAATCTGCCGCAGGGCCCGAACAATCATGTAATTTTTTCGTCCGATAATAGGCAGGGTATTCTGTTATCATTCTCTTAACCTAATAGAGTGATTGTTTTACTTTATTTTGTAACTTTTATCTATGTAAACTAGTTTATTACATATATTATAAGCATTATGTTTGTGCACGCCGTCTGCACCTATTATCGAGGCCACACATGGTTTTAGTGTGTGTAACTTGTTTCTTTTTTTATTATGTGCGACCGTGTTGATGAGGCTTTAAATAAATAGATAACGATTTACAGCTTAAAATGAGAACACCTATAATAATTAACCTCATTAATTCCTTGAAACATTCATCCATCTGTACACTTATTAGATTTTATTTTTTTCCAAGGACCTCTATGGAGTACAGACCTCCACCAACTGGCTCCATATTACTCTATCTTGAGCATTCTTCTCAAGCTCGTCAGAAGGCCACCTCTCTTTCTTTTCCCTGGTGGGCCTTTCCACCTTATTAACCTGTTTGTCCATCTGACTTTGTTCATGCGAGCGGTGTGGCCTGTCTATTTCCACTTTAGTTTTTGCAATGGGATAGTGCATCAATAATTTTTGTTTTCTTTCTTATTCCTGTACTTCTTATCTAGTCCTTTAGTTTTACTTTAATTTGGTACACTACGTTCCATTCCTCGTTCACAAGTTATCATATTTTGTTTGTGTTCGAGTCATATATCCATGATTGACTACTGTAAGAAAGAATTGGCAAAATACACGTGTATAAGACTTTCTTTTTTTTGTATATTGCATAGAGAGCAGATAATCCAACACCTATGAGCAGTGTTGGCCTAGTGGCTTCAGCGATTGTCATTCCTGAAGTCGTAGGTTTGATCCCTGGGCTGTGCAACTATGGTCTTTCTTTCTATGTGCGCATTTAACATTCGCTCGAACGGTGATGGAAAGATCGTGAGGAAACCGACATGTCTTAGACCCAAAAAAGTCGACGGCGTGTGTGTGTCAGGCACTGGAGGTTGATCACCTACTTGCCTATTAGATTGAAAAATGATCATGAAACAGATTCAGAAATCTGAGGCCTTGACCTAAAGAGGTTGTAGTGCCACTGATTTTATTTTTTCAATCTAACACCTATAGTAGCCCTAATGTTTTATTATTTATAAAAAATAATAGCATCTACTCTTACTTACGCCCCACCTAGTCCTACCCACTGATCCATAAAGATTTCTTTTTCAGGGCAGTCATAACGGAAAATGGAGATTTTCCGTCGACAATGTCAGTAAACACAATCAATACAAAATGTAAAGACACAAATAACGAAGAAAAAGGGTATGACCCGTTTCAAAATCGTAATCTGGATCAGCCGAATTCGTAAGTACCCTCAAATTTTTAAATCGCAAAAATTTTGAATTGTTTTTGGGGCCCTTTTAATTTTTTTCCAATTTGGAATTTTAAGTTAAATGTATAATGACTGCTCAGGGCAGATTTATTTACTGGCAGAGGTAGTAGTAATAGTAGTAAGTAATAGTAATACTATTTACTTTATTTTCAAACATACGGTTTGACCTCTGATTTGAAACACCCATGGTATCACTGTATCTAATAACCGAGCCCCAAGATTGTTAAGTGTTACTCAAAATATTATATTGTATTTTCGAACAATTATCATGTAGAAAGATGATCTTCAATTGGGTCGATTTTTAATCCAACTTTAGATCGTAAATGTTTCATGTAATACAAATGATTATAAGAACTATTTTATAACCACACAGTATAAAACCGCAAATAAAACACATCCTTTTACTAAGACAAGGTCATGAATAGTGTCATACTATCAAGTTTTTCCGGTACTTATTGCAGAGAAGATATTCCATGTACCTACTTTTCAATATTAGTAAAGGATATGACGAAATTTGAACTTATATATGTGCTTCATTATTCCATTTCATAAATAAAATAAGCAGAGTGTCACATATAATAATATCTAGGTACTTCGAACATAATCAAAGGGAGTTCAAAATTTATTCGAATATTTCACGGCATTTTTAAATGAATACACGTCAGTATGAGGAAAAGCCACCTCGGGGATGAATTACGTTATTATTACAACTGATTCTCTAGTTTGTGACGTATGTTATATATACATATGTATTATGTGTGTATGTATGTATTTTAAAATATACTTAATTTAATTTACGTTACCCGTTCTGGTATAACTAAATAAAGCCACTTTAATTATTATTTCTTAATTAAGGGTGGTAGTTTTGTAATACGCTAAGTCTACGTTAGTTATTGTTATTTCCATTACTTCGTGATCTGCAGTATGGACCCCTTTTGGGCAAAGGCCTCCTCCTGAACTTTCCATTTGGATCTGTTCTTTGCTCCCCAAAAACCTTAACTGTCGTCAGCCCATCGCTTTTATGGTCTTCCCACGTTTCTTTATCCAGGTCCCCTCGGGCTTCGGTGGTCCATCTTTTATTTGTACCTCTTGCAATCTGGTATTACTATTAAGGAGTTATTAAGTGTTAAGCAAAAATCTTCATTATACACATTGAAATTTACTTTTTCAGAGATATAAGATCATTTGCCAATCTTCTCAAGTCGTCATTAGGATCCGGTATATTGGCTATGCCAGCTGCTTTTAAAAATGCTGGATCCATCGTCGGTATCTTTGGTACAATTATACTGGGATACATTTGCACACATTGCGTCTATTTACTGGTAAGTTTCGCTTAAATTCACATTGTTACATCAATATTACATCAATTCCACACTTTTACACAAGTGCCCAGGAAACTTCTGAGCTTCTGGAAGGAGCTAGGTTGGCTTCCAACCATCAAGCATCACCTTGATGGCTGGAAGTCTTCCGCGTTCCACTTCACAAGACACTTTCTTTTGCGAACTAGCGACCTGTGAAATCGACTCATGGTCTTTCCCTAAGGTAAGTCTTCCAGGCAACCCAGTGGTCCCAGTTGTAGCGACACCGGATTATTATTAGCTATTTGATAATTGACTTTTCGGAAATTATTCCCACTAAGTACACTATTAACATAAGTCAAAGGCAATATTTGATTGGCATTATTATTATGTGTTAATAAAGGTTGTCTTGCATTTTGTCTTTTAAACTACTCTTTTTTCACTTTCTGTCAAATTGTATTTACGCTGTGATGAAAAGAGTCCAAGATATTACACCGGTGCAATTGATTCCAGTTAGGTAGGTTTTTATGGATGAACTGGTTATGTTTACCTGACCTTTCGCTTTATATGGCCCAGATGACAACGAAGATTGGAACTAATTGTAATTCCAAGTAAATACAAAATTATATTTGTAGAAAATTTTGAATATTTCGCACAGCTTCGTAGAAGGATTCAGACGGGTTCAGTGACTTATATTATTGTTACTAATTAGTGTGTCTTAAATAATTCCTTAGGTAAAAACGTCACAAGATGTATCGAGGGTGTCAAAAGTACCTTCCCTGGGATATGCGGAAACAGTTGAAGCTGTGTTCGCTACGGGACCACGACCTTTGCGGAAAATCTCAACAGCTACCAGGTAAAACATTTATTCACGATTCAACAATTATAAATTAAGTGAATAAGCGGAAAATCACAAGGCAATATACAGTTAAATATTTTTAATCGTTTTAAAGAAAAACGACTTTGTTAAGCCTAAAAGTAATGCTGATACGATAATAACCTTTTAATTACCCTTTAACACTAATTATTTGTTGTTATATTATTAAACTGTAAAAAATAAATAATTGGTGCTACAACCTTTTTAGGTCTGGGCCTCAGATTTCTGTTTATTTTTCAGTCTAATTATAGGCACATGTCGTCGACTTTCTCGATCTAAGGCAAGCCAGTTTCCTCACGTCGTTTTCATTCACTGTTCGGGCGAACATTAAAAGCGTACATAGAAAAAAAGTCAATTGGTGCACAGCCGGGAATCGAACCTACGACCTCAGGGATGATTGTCGCACGCTGAAGCCACTAGGCCAAAACTGCTCATCAAACTATAAATTCTTATTTATAAATAAAACGAAGACTTAGGGCCGGTTTTTTGATCCGTAGTTAACTCAACTATTGGTAAAAAATCGTTACTATTAGTTAAATATCAGCAAAATGCGTTTTTTGATCCGTGGTAAGAGCATCCAATGGTAAAATATCTAACCATTAGTCAAAAAAGTTAACTACTCAGTATCGGAGGGTTAAAAAGATGGCCGCTGGTAATTTATATACTAACAGCTGTTTGTCACAGAAATCAAACTATGATAAATACGTTTATTACTATCTAATGATGAATTTAAACATATTGAGATACTTTAATTAATGAGACGATGAAGAAGACGATAATATTATATGAGAATGTGTTAATGAGTGACCAAAAATATTTAGGCAATGTCATCCGCCATTAGAAACCTGGGATGATGTAGATTTTTGTCACTGTTACCCCCTATCGAAGGGAACAGTGCTCTGGATTGTTACTGAAATTGGGAATGATCTTAAACTGCCAATGAACAAGAGTATATATAGACAGCAGCTCATACCAACCTATTTTGCTTCATTACTAACTACAGAACCGCAGCAGTATATAATTAAGTATATTACTAATTCATTATGTGTTTTATTGCCTATAATATTAACTTATAATTATTATAATTAAATAAAATACAAGAACAAGAGTATATATAGACAGCAGCTCATACAAACCTATTTTGCTTCATTACTAGCTACAGAACCGCAGCAGTATATAATTAAGTATATTACTAATTCATTATGTGTTTTATTGCCTATAATATTAACTTATAATTATTATAAGTTAATATTATAGGCAATAGAATACATAATGAATTAGAGTTAATATTATTTATATATTACTAATAATATTAACTTATAATTATTATAAGTACATACAAGTATGTACTTATACTAAAAACTACAGCTACACATTAGTTAGGGACCTATGATATTCTTTAGGGCTTTTATTACATTTGTGAGTTAGCATCTATCTACTTTATTACAAGAATTTATAAATAAAACATTTGACTTGATTAATAAACTGTTTAATTATAACTTAAATACAAACCATTTTTATTAAAAAAACATTACAAAATTTACATGAAACCCTAAAGTAGCAATTAAATATTTTCTAATTGTTTCTTCTTGCATTTCACCTCAATTTGATGCAACTCTTTTTGCTGCTACATATATTTATTGTGCCTTTCTTCCATCTGCTGCATCACTTTTTGGTGCACCTCCTCTTTATGCAGTATGAATTTTTGGTGGGCCTCTCATTGGTGCAGCAAATGTTTTTGATGCTCTTCTTAAGCATAATTGAACAAATCATCCTCTCTTATTTGTCTTTGTTTCTAAACTCAATTTTTTTTTATCCGTGTGGATCATAATCCGCTTCCTTGTTTCCAAAGGGTTAAAAGATTTTTTCCTTTTGTTGTAGGACACAGCTATACAAGAATAAATATAAAAATGTGCCTACACCTTCATTAAATGTATATTAAATTTAACACTTCGGTGTCTAGACCCATCTGAGTTGAAAACGTCACAGAGATTTCCAAGCTGCATCTTTTTGTAGATTGCTGCAGTGATCAGTTGTTTGCAGGTTACGACTGTGTAATCCTTGAGAAGCATCACCAGTTTGGCAGTTTCTTTTTTGGCGAAGTTAGCAGTATGGTCCCTTTAACAAAACATAAATGTATTACTTTCTATTACGAAACACAAGATAAACCGGAATAAATAACACGAAAATATGTTTGAACTTACTTATTTGACCGTTGGCTGTTTGCGGACATCGTTATTTATATATTTAAGTATCGTAAAAAGTGTAAACCGTATTAAATCACAGAAAAACAACTTTATTTATATCGTGTTATTTAGATTAATTTGACACTTCAAACTCTTCAAAGCGCAAATAACGAATGAAGATGGCAAAAATGGATTTCATTCACTCAATATGTCTAGTGTTGTCATACAAAATAAATGATCCCCACAAAAAAGAACCACATTTTTTGGGATGTCATTGCTCATTGCACTGGCAACAAATTGACAAATTGTTAACTTTAACTATAGTTAAAAAAGGCATTGAAAAACGCATTTACGATTTTACCAATGGTTATTCATTTAACTATAGTTAATGTAACAAATGGTAAAACCATTTTTTACTACGGATCAAAAAACTGGCCCTTATACTCGTTCTTGTTGTCAAAATTAGAGCAAATCAATTATATATCAATATCGTGATAAAAATATCCGAATGACATCTACGGAAGTCGCAATAAATAAAAGATACCTAATAATATTGGTTATCAATGTCAAATTGATAAAATCGTTAATAAAGAACACGTTCTGAATGAAAACGAAAATTTCGTCTCCAGTGCAATTGTTTTAATAATTTTACTTATTTGATCTGTGAGCCTGTGACCTCAAATCTTGGTAGCTGGTTTCAAAGGATTTAACTTGTATGCAATTTTACGGGGAAGGTAAACGTCGCGGGGAAACCGCCACTCAGACTAAACTTTATTACGACTATGATGTTGTGTTCGCTAATAAACGCTTAAAAAACTCGAAATTACAATTTTTGGCAAGGCATACAGACTATATAGAACAATTTTATTTCAAAATTACTTTTAAATTAAGAACAATTATTCGAAAACAAATGAATATTATTGCAATTTAAATTTCTAGTTTCACAATTCTTAAAAGCGCAATAAAATTTAGAAGTGAAGTTTTGAAGTTAATATTAAAGTCGATAAAATTGGTCTTTGTCCGTTTATTACTAATTTATATAATTCCAAGATTTTTGTAAGATATTTCACAACTTAACGGTGTTTCGTTTTAATAGATAAAATTGTATGTTTATTATTCCAGGATATTTATAGACTGGGCGATGGCTCTGACAATTCTTGGCGCTTGTGCAGTGTATGTTATATTACTCGTCGACTCAGTTCAACAGGTATTTTGGATGATAGACAACACTATTAAACTATACAGTGTGTATTAAAATAATGTCAAACATCAAGGTCATTGTGGAGATCTGGTAACGTTTCGAATGTCGATATAATCTATGGCCATATATCCAAAATTTACGATATGTTTTGATAAAAACTTATGACTTAGGGTCTTTCAAGAAAAAAGCGTACCAATTCTTAGCCGGCAGCGCACTCGCGAGCCCTCTGGCATTGAGAGTATCCATGGACGGTATCACATAATATTATCAGGCTAGCAATCGGTAGCAGGTAGCAGGAATATAGCAATCGGTTTCAGCTTGGAATTTACAGAAATTCTTGCCTTTATCACATCAAGTAATAAATGTACAATCAAGTAGAATATGTAACTAATAATTAAAAATATTACACGATGCTTTGCGTAAATGTTATTAAATTTTCCGCTTGATGATCACAAAATATACCCATTTTGCTTGCAGCATATTCCTTTCTTGTAAGAACGCAGTCTTGTTCACATTTATCTATTATTCCTAGTCTATGAAATAGTTTATTTTACCATTTAAAATCATATTTAGTTTAATTTGAATTATTGAATTCCGAATATATTTTTTTTTATAGAAACTATTTAATAATTACATTTGAAATTAAATAAACTGCAATAACTATACACTTAAAACACAGCTACCCGAGGCCCGCCTTACAATTCAGATTCAATTTAACGAACATTTGCTATAAAATATCATCCAGATCTCTTACGAGTTACGACCCTCTTACGATGTTTTTCAGGCACAAAATTTCAGGTAATCATTTCAAAGAAACATAATCCAAAGATTATATTTAGTACATTTAACAAGCCCTGTATACACTGAATGTTTGTTTGCTTGGTTATAGTAAATAATCTGGCACATTAAATCGGGAAGTGTATACAAACAATTATTTATAATTACTACGTTCAATTCGCTATATTCAATGTGTTAGATGCTATATCTAGATTAGTTTAGGGAAAAGAACTTTGTTTATGTATGAACACCGTACTTAGAGTCGGCTGTAATGAATAGTAACTACAATTAGTAATTATGTATCATATAAAAAGTTCAATTAAGAAAATTAGTAAATATATATAGTTCAGTAATTTTGTAAATTAACATAGTGATATCATCATAATATCTCATCCTTGAGGTTGAATCCCCGGTTGTAGACCCATGGATTAAATTTTCTATGTTCCATAAAGTTCGAAAAGGAAAACATCGTGAGGAAACCGACATGCCTTAAACAAAAAGTTGACGCCTGCCGGCGAGTGTTAGGCACAAAATATTTTTAATTGGAAATATGGAAACTGTACCAGTTGTACTCGTAATTGCAAACGAAACTGAAATAACCTAAATAGCCTCTGTAATTTTGAATATTGAAATAACCTAAATAGCCTCTGTAATTTCATTACTCCGACCTTAATATACTAAAGGGAACAATACAATTTGAAACTTAAATTTATTTGTGTTATTTTTTCAGATCGTCGACTTCTACTATGAACACAACAGTTTGAACAAAGGGATGTACTGCCTTATGTTTTTAGTACCAATTCTAATTTTTACTCAAATCAAGAGTCTTAAATACATAGCGCCGTTCTCGGGATTTGCCAACATTTTGCTGGTGGTGACATTTTTAATTTGCCTGTATTATATCTGCGATGAATTCCCCCATTTTGATTCACAACCAAAATCTATTGATATTCAACGATTGCCATTATTTATTGGGTAAGTGTCTTGAAATGTGTGCATTTTTGGTTAAAACAAATATAATTGGAATAGAGCGCGGCAGAATTTCGGGGTTTTTAATACAAACTGTATTTATTAATTATTAAGTATAAACTTAATAATTAATTGATTATCTGAATTACTAAGAAAGTGCAACTCCAAAAGGAACAACTGATAAAATTACACATATATGATAACCAGTAATTTTGAGTTAAATATATATCCTACTATCCGAAGGTTCTGATGAGACATTTCAAACATTTTGCGTTTATGAAATTCGTTCATAATCTCATCTGTGGTTCTCAGTCATTTAGCTCACATGGACTGTGTGTCTATGTGAGCATTTGACACTCGCGTGAAAGCATGCAAGCTTCGGCGACATAGACCCAAAAAAGTAAATGCGGATGATCACGAAACAGATTCAGAAATCTGAGGCCCAGACCTAAAAGGGTTGTAGCGCCACTGTTCTATTATTCTTAAGACATTATCAGAACGCACATAAACTTGTTTCTGAACTGTCCTACGGCGAAATCCCATCACGAGACGAGAGAATTCTCCGGAGTGTCCCAAATACTTAAAGTCTACTTAAAGTTATCTATCATTTACTAACCCAAACTATCCGCTGTGTTGCCATTTTGTCAAACTTTTTTAATAGGTGACTGTTTCAGGACTGTTATATTTGCAATGGAAGGTATCGGCGTAGTATTGCCTGTGGAAAATACAATGGCTAAACCACAGCATTTTCTTGGATGTCCTGGAGTTTTAAATATAACCATGACGATTGTAGTTCTTCTTTACATGATTATGGGCATTTTGGGTTATTTGAAATATGGAGAACACGCAGCCGGTAGCATAACATTGAACTTGCCAACAAAAGAAATGTAAGATTTAAGTCGTAACTAAAAAACCATAAAGTCCTGTCCTCAGTTACATGCTGTTTCAATGGCTAAAAACTGGTTATTTATTTACTATTTTATTAAAATATATAATTAAAACTCAAATATAAAAAAAAAACAGATAATATTTATTACTGTCTAATTATAATTGCGTAGTCAATTTTGGAGGAAATTTGTTTTGTCGTGAACGTATGAAATCACAGCTGCACTAATGTACATATACTATATTGATAATTTTAAATGTATTACTTTTTTTTATTACAGACCAGCTCTCATGGCAAAAGTATTTATAACGTTAGCGATATTCTTCACGTACATTTTGCAATTCTACGTACCGATGGAAATTGTATGGCGTAATATTAAACACAGAGTAACGCAAAAATACCATAACCCTGCACAAGCTATTATGCGAGCTGTATTTGCAGCATTGACGGGTAAATAGAATCTTATTATCTGTCTATCTATATACCTACTTCGACTGGCGCCCTGACCTTGAAAATCGGCTGGCGACGCCCTCGGTTATATATATATATATCAATCAAGGATATCAATTTCCGTTGAGCAAAAGATGGTTTTACTCCATATTCGGCAACGTATTTCCGAACCAAAACGACTTCTTGTTCATATTTATACAAATCTAAAACTTCAGATTTCCGAGACTTAGAGGGAGGGAAAAAAGGAAGCTATGTTAGGAATTCTATGAATTTAATTGTCATTAAAATATTAAAAGTTACGAAAATTAATACAAATTATATATTTTTTTTTTAAATTTATTTCTTCGATAATAATAACACGTGGCATTTTAATTTACAATTATTCTTACATTAATAAAATACTAATATTTCATAAATTCTCTTTACGAAATATTAATTTTAAAAATAGAATTTCTATAAGGTAATTCGCCCTTCTCACTCTCTCTCAATGGGTCTCAATCGCTCTCTCCCTTTTCTTCGATAAAACCGCTGCACATCTTCGTGACGCTAATATTATTATTATTGCGTTTCATCCGTAAAAAAAATTCCCATGCGCCTAAAGAAGTTTCACTTCAAAAAAGCTCCTTCAACTAATCATACAAGGAAAAGTATTATTAAAAACTTCATAAATTTACAGTTGCCGCAGCAGCAACACTTCCTCGTTTGGAACAAGTGATAGGACTGGAAGGCGCATTTTTCTATTCCTTTCTAGGGCTGATCGCGCCCTCACTTATAGACCTTATATTCCGATGGGAAAGGGGCCTTGGGTCATACAACTATGTCATGTATAAGGACGCATCTCTAATTATCTTTGGAATATTCGTTCTTGTAACGGGAGTGACACAGAGTATTAGAGAAATAATGAGGACACTTTAAATTAGTGTTTTAGTTACGTAATGTTTGAAATTTTGTAATAAGTTTTCATTGACTGAAGAGAGCAAAATATAATTTTGTATGGTTGTATTATGTACTTAATATAACAATTATCAAAAATTGAATGTATTTTATTACCAAAAACAATTTATCCTTCCTAAAAAAAAAATATTTCTTTCTTAATTAAATAAAATTGTACTGTGTTTATGTGCATTTAACATTCGCTCGAACGGAGAAGGAAAACATCGTGAGGAAACCGGCTTGCCTTAGACGCAAAAAGTATACGGCGTGCGTCAGGCACAGAAGGCTGATTACCTACTTGCCTATTAGATTACTAAATGATCATGAAAGAGATACAGAAATCTGAGGCCGAGACCTAAAAAGGTTGATTGATTTTTTATTTTTTTACTTATTGTACAATGCACTAGAAAATAAATAGTTTTCATAATGAATACCTAGTGTATTTTTCTCAATATCAAATTCGATTGGAGTAAATTCAGTGAGGTTACCGATTAAAAATACGCTAACGATTTCCACATCAATTGGCACACTTCCACAGGAACCAAAATTATACTTTTGTTTTCTATTTATCCATTTTTAATGATTATTATTATTATCTATTACTATGTAGGTTAAGAATATAGTAAATTGCTATGGAAAATTTGTATATATATTATATGTATTTATTATTGCTTGATACAAAACAGATACATCTCTATAAAATAAAAAGTAAAAAATAAAACATAAAATTAACACATTAGATATATCCACAAAAAGTTTTACTGATAAAAATGAGATAATCAATTGAAGAAAAAATAGTTTTTGTATTTTTAAAGTTCACATTGAGATATTAAAATTTCCATCATCCGACAAAACTTGCTGTTACTATGGTAACGCCTGAAACCCCTTACTGTTTCCCTCTAATTCCAGAATTTGTTAATAGAAATTTAAGTATAGCACCATCTAGTGGCAAGCGCTAAGCGCAATAGTAGTGTAGTAAAGCTTAATATTTAAATTGTGTACATACATCTATGTAGATGTCATCTACATAGAGTCAACACTCGACATTGTAGCGCACTAGCGCTACCTGGAGATGGGTGTGCTAACTAATATACTACCAAAACGCGCATATGCATAGAATTTTAAAATACCATCGACCAATTCATAATGTTATTTGTCTTTCCTTTTTACTTCTGTTGTTCTTCTTTCCATGCTGTTTTGACAATTTTTTATTATATTTCTTAATTGTTCTGTCAATGCCCACGTATCGTAAACATAATATGCAGATATACAAAACAAAGCATAAGAATTCAAATACATATGTATGTAATAAACTGATAAATTTATGAGTATACTTACCAGAACTTAAATCAGAAAAACTTTTTCACATAGCCATTTTTAACAAATATGTAGTGCTAAAAACTCAAAGGTAAAACGTAAAAGATAATCTCCAAAGTCCAGAAATGATGCCAATTTATAATAAATTATAGGAAATTTTTGAAACGGTAAAAAAACACGGAAATTTAAGGTTGCTTGTGTTTTTATTTTAGTGGTGCTTAGTTAGCACAGGAGAAGTGAAATTATTAAAACTTAAAAAAAATCTTAACTGTATATCACTGCCATCTACTGCAAACAGTGCTTAATAACGCTAATAAAATTACACATGTATGAAATCTTAACACACTGCTTGTAATGTAAAGAAATAAATTAAATTGGATGATAGCATACAACAAACAAGTAAAACTATAAATTCAAATAATAATTTTGATTAATTTTAGGACTACATATTATTATAATTATGTATGTATTTAAAATGACAAATTTCAAATTGCTAGAGTCAAAGAGTAGTGAGAGTGACCCGCGAATTGCGAAATGTGTTGACTGAGTTATTCCACAACACAATGAGTTTCTTCAATTATTCATTAAAATAAATATAGGAATACTTACATGTACAATAGCTTAATAGTTCAGAACATTTTCTTTAAGTCTTTGCCAAACCTATAAATATACTTTTACTAATTACAGTTTCAATCTTACAAGTTAAGGATAACCTATTCAGTAGGTATTCGTATTCTCCAATCTTCACATGATTCTTCGTGAGTTAGTTTCCTGATTCCGGGAATTAGGATTATATAATTCATAACATTGTGAAATCAGTATTTGAATCGAATATATTTTAAAGTATGAGATTACTCTGAAGTCTGAAGACATGAATAACCCTAAAATCGTAAGTTTTTACAATAATTATCATACATACTACTAATTAGCTCTATCGAATTAATTTAATTCCTGATTCATGCTTTATTTAAAACGATTAACCAATCATGCTGATTGAATTATCCGTCTTATCGCTTTAAATTATCTTGATTGTGGACAGGAAAGGAGTGAATTTTCAATTTATTATACATTTCATTGTAAGTTATAAGATCCATAACGATGTCTGTGGTACGTGAATAACTAAATACTATTATGACATTTCTCTCATTGCTTTGAGCTTGTAAAAGAATTCTTAAATAGTAAAACCTTTTAGATATGCCATTACACACATAAGTTAGCAATTAAGGCAAGATAACAAAAGTCAAGGTTCAGATTTCACTTGTGTTACTTTAAACTTCGTATTTCATAACCAATAATATCCTGGCCAAGTCAGAAGTGTTGTGTTTATTGTAGCAAAATGAGCAATTTAGAGGTTGCTCTGAATGATATGTTTGAAAATTCATCAGTGTGTAGTTATATTATTTATTTTTAATTGTTTGTTACTTGAACAAAATAGTAATCATTAATTATTTTATAGGTTCTCCCTATTATAGCTGGAGTAAGTGCTGTGGTTGTATTAGTGACAGTTTTAGCTAACCTAATATGGGGAAGGAAAGCATCCACACCAACAAAGAAGATAAACCCTGTCACATTAGTTGACTCCAATGTAAAGTATCCCTTACCTCTGATTGAAAGGGAAGAAATTAGCCATGACACAAGGAGATTTAGATTTGGACTTCCCTCTCCAGATCATATTCTAGGTAAATTTATTTGGAATTTCATTTTTTCTTCTTGTGATTGACCTTCTATGAAAAATATAGGAAATTCATTTACTATTATGTTAATTAATTTTTTGTTTGTCCTTTGCATGACCTTACTTACTTTGTTATAGAGTAAGACATTATATTTATTTCATAATTACTGATTTGGAACCATTAAATGTATCTGTTCCGTCTACTTTATAGGCTTATACATATAGTCGTAGTAGTTAATTCTTAGATGAATCAATGTTGATTGGAAGTCAGTTATTTGTATTTTTCATTTATAGCAAGTAGTAGAGAAAGACTAAAATATATTCCTCTTTATTTATATACCATTTTTTTAAATATGGAAATAAAATAGTAACCATGGCAACAAACCCACACTTTAATCCATTGTATATAATAACACTGATTGTTTTTGGACTCATTCTTTAGTGTTTGGCTTACTTGAATTAAAACCAATAATGATTATTTTACCTTTTCTTTAATTAATATGAGTAAAATTTTAGGTTTGCCAATTGGCCAGCATATACACTTATCAGTCAAATTACAAGATGATCTAGTTATTAGAGCATACACACCGGTAACCAGTGATGAGGAAAAGGGATATGTTGATTTGGTTATAAAGGTTTGTAAATGTTTAAATACATGAAATGATTTTTAGAAAAGACAAACTAAGCAAGGACAAGTTTTAGACTTAGTTCTATCAAACTAAACTAATCTTTGGTCCATCTGAATGAATACCAATTTGAAAGGAGGAACTTATACCATATTATGTATAATATTTTTCTTTACTCTTAAATAGTTACTACAAATATTAATTATGTAATATGTTCGATATCATTGAAATGACATTGAAGCTGTCCTTTAAGACCTTGAGTATGAAAACAAAATTATTATAAGTTAAGTTTTAACTTTTAATTAATTAATTTTTTTTACAGGTTTACTTTAAGAATGTCCACCCAAAATTCCCCGATGGAGGTAAAATGTCTCAGCATTTGGAAAGTCTGAAAATTGGTGACACAATTGATGTCAGAGGTCCCTCGGGAAGGCTGCAGTATGTTGGTAAAGGAACATTCCAAATTAAGAAGCTAAGAAAGGACCCGCCTACTACAGTCACTATGAAGAAACTCAACATGATTGCAGGTATACTATCATCTTGAATATCAATCAGCCAATTAAAAAAAGTTCTAATTTTAAATAATTATCTATTACTCTAAAGTGTCACATACTGTTACCATGAAATACCATAGAGATTGAGAAAACTATAAGGGAATTGTATTATAGAAGCTTCGTCTTCACAAGAGTTGATTTACATATTGTCATATCTAGATAGTGTTATTTGATTTCATAATAATCAAACAGTTATGTAAGTCATACATGTTTCTCATAACGAGTAAGTTAAGTAAGAAAAATTAAAACTGCTCCGGGTTTAATATTTTTTATTTATACTTATATAGTGTTATTTGTTTTAATTATCAAATAGTTATTTAGTTTCTTTAATAGAAAAGTACTGAAAGAATCATTAAAATTTGTAAAAAAACTATCATTCTATGTTCGAGCTTGACTTTTTTTTTTTTTTTTATATTACTAATTATTCCTAGCTATTTACTTGCTGATACACATTCTGCATAATTATATAAATCCAAAAAAGTCATAAAAATTTATATCAAATATCTGACACATTTTATACCTAAAATCTTTACCATTTTTATATGAAATAAATAATGAATTCTACATTTAAATACATTTTAAAAAGTAATGCTTATATATTAGCTTTTATCTTCTATGTAATGTATTGACATACACTATAGATTAGTGAATACCACAGTCCACTTAACATCAATATCACTAGTAAAAAAATGTTATCTCATCCTCAAAGCCATTGTTCAGAATTACAGATAAACTTTATCTATGGTCCCTTATCAGGAGTCCTTTGAATTTATCTGTCCAGTTCAACAGACTTCAAAAATTTCTTTGTATTAGCTTGAAATATTTTTACAATTTGATGCATTTTTTAATGCTTAAACGTGAAATGTTCAAGGATGAATATTATCACGTTTTTGTTTATTTAACTGTTGATAATTAATATTTGTAAACATTATTTTTAAATCGTCATCATTATTAAACACAAGTTATAATAACGTTAAGTCATCATGATGGCTATATTTTTTATCAATGTTAATATCGAATTATTTGATCAAATGGGTACATAATTACGCATGAAGTTATCGCTTTATTCGAATCATTAGGGTCAAAAATATTGTCGAGAATTTAATTTTTATCCAAAAACATTTAAAGGTTAGTTTTCACCGACTTAAAAAACCAATAATGAATTCGTCATATTTATATTATGTATACAATTTCTTGTGTAATAAAGATTTTAAGAGCTGTGGCTTCACCGTGCTACTCTCATCCCTGAAGGCGTAGGAACGGACCCCGCCTGCACCAATGGACTTTCTATGTGCATTTATCACTCGCTCGTACGAAGATAAATATCATGAGGAAGCCGGCATGACTTCCAGAAAAGATGGCGTGTTTCTGGCACAGAGGCCTGATCACACTTGACTTTTAAAAAGATACAGAAATCTAAGGCTCTTAAAAGGTAGCACCAAAGGTTTTTTTATAAAGTTTTTCTTCCTTTCAAAGATATCGCTTCGAATTATTTAATTTATGCAAAAGTCTTTAATGTCGAATCTGCGTCATATGTAAAACTGTATGTTTTCCTCATAATCCTCACATATTTGTTCGCTGAATAACCCAGTTTAGTCGTTATGTATGATCCGTCCATCAAAAAGACGCTGGAGACATTTCTGAGTGCAGGAAATCGCGTAATTTAGTTCGTATATAATATTTTATTATCTTATCTTATACAATATATATAAGTTATATAATGATGTTATCCGTTTTTGCTAATGTCGGCTAATGGGAAATAAAAATAAATAAATCAGTGACGTTACAACCATTTTAGGTCTGGGCCTCAGATTTCTGAATCGGTTTCATGGTCATTTGTCAATCTATAGGCAAGTAGGTGATCCGTTGACACACGCCACCGACTTTTTGGATTTAAGGCAAGCCGGTTCCTTCAATGTTTCCCTTCACCGTTCGAGCGATAGTTAAATGCGCACATATAAAGTCAATTGGTCCAATCCACTGCCGGGGATCGAACCTACGACTACAGGGATTAGAGTCGCACACTGAAGCCTCTAGGCCATCACTGCTCTTATGCGAAATACCATTCAGATAACACTGAATTTGAAGAAAGAACTTTCCCGATAAACGGCGATATAAATTACTTTAAATTAGTCAGTTGTTGTGGGGTGGGCTCATGATGCAGGAGATTTTGCGCTATGGATATTCTTAATACTACTTATTTTTTTGGAATTTCTGTGGAAATTAAAGTTTCCGGCTTTCACACTCGTCATTATTCATTAATTAGTATTATAAGCTATTTAACCTTCCATACACCAATAAATCATTGTATTATAAATATTTAAGGATTTTTATTACATCATATTATTTTTTATCAAAAAGAGTTTTTTTTAAGATAGAACCAATAAATATTGTAAATACTTTCTATATTCAGCAGAAGGCAAGCATTATACGATATCGTTATTATTATTATTTTATTTTTATCTGTATAGTTCTAGTTTATTATTTGCAATTTTTAGTTTTTATTTTGTGTTTGTTTGTTATTTGTGATATTATATATTATAATATATATAAAATTTTCTTAACCTACAAAGTAATAATAAAATTAATTAAAAAGAAAATCAAAACTTGAAAAAGTTTAGTCCCTTTGCCAGTGTACCTTTAACGCTAGCAGCATTTCCTCGCTGTACTGCGATACTTATTCGTTAAGCCAGGAAAGCACCAGCTCTGGGGTCACCGGTACTATCTACCAGGCGCCATCTTAAATCTTTAATAAGCGCATGTGCACTTAAAGCCCATGGCTCAAGAGTCTCTACTCCAAAGGGAACAAAATCGAAGTTGGAGGAACGATTCTTATATTTGTGCCGTTTATTATTTTCTGCCTGCTCTGCGGCCGCCCCTGCTTTTTGCTTGTCCGAAGGAGGTGAGACGGGCAAACATGTCCACACAAGTAGCATCCCATACTAAAGCCTGTCCCATTTTCCAAGGGCTTAACTACATCCCATCCGCTTGCCATCAACAACAATATTAAGATATTATGATATTAAGAATTACTACGTAAGGAGTGTGGGATAAAGAAAACGTAGTGACAGGGATACGAAAGGGAATGCTTAGGTGATTTGGCCATGGAGAAAGTATGAATGAGAAGCAAGGCAGCCGTGGATGGTGAGATCGGGTTGAGTAGGCCTTGTCGTATCCAGGACGTTTTAGAGAAGAGACAGGTGAAAAGTACCCATAAACGACGAGCATGCATGGTGAATGTCATGAAAGTTTGAAGGTTATGTTAGGACTGTAGCAAGTGGAGGATCCGTGCCCCGGCCTCTGGCTATCCCTTCGGGAAAAAGGCGTGGCGTTATAAATAAAAATTTAGTACTTAAATACTATTTGATTATATTGATTACGATTGTATTGTATCTATGACACTAATATATGCAATATAACAAAGTATTTTATCGTATCACCTTGACGTCCGTTGTTCCACAACTGAGCGTTTTTTTAAGGCAGGGTCTCAAGTATTTATGAACCAATTCCACTTATGGTCCTTCTAGAAAAGAGCGTATCAAGTCTTAAAAGGCCGGCTACGCACTCGCGAACCCTCTGGGTTTGTGTCCATGGGCTTAACATCAGGTATACCTGCTGCCCGTTTGCCTCCTGTTGTATTAAAAAATAACTTAAACAAGGACCAAACAAATAATTTAAAAAATATATTTATTTATAGCAAGTTACAATTCTATTCTAAAATACATGGCAATTACGGTGAACATATTAAAAAATATATAAACAATTCAATCATAATATGTAAAAGTCACATTACATTAACACCAGAAAAGAGTGGTTTACAAAAGAATTTGTAATCAAGCCACTGGCCTAAATGTCTATTTCGTGTAAGCAGTTACACAATACAAAATAACTGGGTTTACAGGTGGTACGGGCATCGCGCCAATGTTGCAACTAATCCGTCATATATGTCAAGACCCGAATGATTCCACGGAAATGAGGCTATTGTTCGCAAATCAGACGGAAGAAGATATTTTACTTCGGAACGAATTGGAGAATTACCAACGAGATCACCCTGAGCAGTTTTGTTTGTGGTACACCTTGGATAGACCTACTGAAGGTAATATTTTTTTATTTCTAATCTAATTCCAACCCGACTGATGATTTAATCGAACCGGGATCGGTTAGAACAACATACCGGTTATATTGACCAAAATCAAAGGTCCCGGCTAAATTCTATTGTATTAGGTACTTAATAACAATGTCATCGGCTGTTACGACTATCAGTTTTACGACCAAATATGAGTAGTCCCTTCGATGTCGTTTGACTTTGACTGTATTAATAATCACAGTTAAATTAATGCGTCTTCCGTCCCCCCTATAACGTGGAGTATACCTACTCAAGTTATATTTCTGTAGTATGAAATTTATAATGATTTGTCAAGTCCATAATAAGTTTTGCGTATCTTTGCAACTGTACTGTGTTATAAAATTAAACTAAATAACTTAATTAAGTTCGTGGTCCTAGCTTTTGAATTGTTAAGAAAACGAGTTTACGAGAATACTCCTACAACGTGTAATCCTATAACGCGGTCCGGTTCTACCGCATTTAAGGGGAGATTATTCTACTGCGTTTAATTCGCTATATTCAACGTGTTAGATACTATATCGTATTCAACGAAGAGCGGTTCGTGTCGTCGACGACCAAACCCTTCCCAATCCCAATCCGAGTGGCTTGATCCCTTGGCGTAGAGATGTGGGTCACTCTGCATCTTCTACCGCATTTACCACATAGGCGAAGACATTAAGACATTCGACTAATCTGTAACATAATAATTATTATTTATAAGCCACTTGACTCCATAACGCTTTTTACTCTCAATAACACTTTGTCTATCAAATTACATAATTAAAAATATTATTATTATATTTTTTCGTGAATATAAAAAATATTAATAGATTTATTAAAGACGTAATCTATTTGATAACGGTATTACGTGACATGTCCAATGTAGAATGATTTTTTATGATTGAGATAAAATAACTTCGAACCAGAATTTAAAATATAAAAATCCGCGGAATTTAAAATATGAAAGTGGATTTTTGTCATGTGTTTATATATTTTATAAACTTTGTCCAAAGATAAAATAAAAATGGTTGACAACAATTTAGGGTTAAATTATTTACTCATAGTGCGTGCTAAGTCTGTTAAAATCCATCTATTAGGTACTCTAAAGTATTTATTTGTGAATTAATTTAAAAAAAAAACATTATTTTACTAAAGCAAAACAAGTTAAATTAATAAATTATATATTCAACCATACCAAAAATTATAGAACTTACCAAAGTTTGTCATGAACGTTTTTGAATACGATTATGAAAACATGGCCGCCACTCGGCTCAGACCCGACTTCGACCCTCACTTCGATCAATAATGACTATGTACAGCGCTTTGTCAGTGAACTTTCCTTGAGGGTTTTCCCCCCAAATTTAGGGGGAAGCAATGTCCAAGGAGTCTATCTAAATTCGCTTTGAAGAGTGCATTCACCGTGATGGAAGACATATTGACGCTATAATATTTCGTACATTAAATCCGCACTAATACATTATAATTTACTGCAACTATAATTGTATTACAAATGCTATTTGTTTTTTTTTATAAGTATTTCAAGCTGAGACACCCTTTTAAGCTGAAAGCTTTATTAAGCCTTTAAATAAACTCTAAGCAATCCACTGATTGCAAATTTTTTATATAATTCATTATATTTCCAGGCTGGAAGTACAGTACCGGTTTCATCAATGACGAGATGATTCGCGAGCACCTATTCCCTCCAGGCGATGACGTCATGGTACTTATGTGCGGGCCACCACCTATGATTAACTTCGCCTGCAACCCGGCTCTGGATAAACTAGAATATCCAGCGGAAAAGCGATTCGCATACTAAAATGTGTATTTTATTCCATTCACCAGAGATTAAACTGACTGGTCTACGGGTTATCAAGAAATAAACGTGTGTGTACTTATGTACACGCATTAGAAGTTATACTTCTTTGGCAATATTAAAAAAAAAAAACATCTTTCGCCTTATTCTACGTTTGTAGAAAAAATGATACTAACAATAGAAAAACTCTCATAATTTTTTCCTAACGCGCCAAAAGAAGTATAATTTCAAAAGAACTAAAATGTTGACTATAGCTAACTTCAGGGTGTCGGTTTTTTGTGACGGTATCGTTAAAATTTACTCTCATCATTTTTCCCTAACGCGCCAAATGAACTACTCATTCAAAGCCGGTCTACAGCTGACCTGTTCCTGTTTATCACATAAAATTATTATTTTCTTATGAAAAGTTGCGCCATCTATAGTAAATGAGAGTTAGAGAATATAGTCGCTGCAATTAGATATAAATGGATTTGGTTATCTCTGGTCGAGTTAATGGGACATACAACATAATCGTTCAGAAATTTGTAATTTTTTTAATGCATATAAAACACGAACAGAATAAGGTCTATATTACTTTGACCTGCTTTCGTTATCAGTTCAAAATAACAAGACAATTATTGACCGCCGTTAAGATGTCATTTTGGCCCCAAAATCTTTGTACCAAATAAGTTAGCGGCCTTAAAATACATATGACATAGTATTTTTATATTATATGTGCTTCTGTCGTATTTTTATTCGTATCTAGAACAATTATTAGCTAAGGAGATTAGTTCTAAGTGTTTCGAATGTTTTATAGACAATATAGATTTCTGTAATAAATTATGATATACATTCTGGTTTTTATTTCAACATTTTGCTTTATTTAATATAATTTAAATATTTTAAAATTATTAAATATGTACAACTATATAAACTGACAAACGAAACTTTGCCGCGCATTAATATTTGACAGAAAAAAGTTTACTTTGTGACAATTCAAGTTTCGTCCTTTGCCGTTCCCATTATCCATTTCCTTCATGGGAGTGAGGACAAGTTTTTGTTTTCAATTTATGTTATTATTATTAATTACTTAATATGTCATGTGGAACATGGTGTAATAGTAGCAGCTCCTTACAAACGTGTAAAAAAAACATGGCGATTAGAAAGAGTGGCGGAGAGTTTATTGCCAGTTCTTCTCTTCCGTGGCTTTTTTGACGTTCATAAGTGTACATTGTGTTACCTATATGATTAAATGACTTTTGATTAGGGATAAATGAATATCATCATGATCAAGTTTCGTCATGCTCACAAAAATTTAACTTTACCGACTATTTTATATTTTGTTCTCATTATAGTGTAATTGCTTGCTTTTATTATTTGGTTGAAGAGTTTATTTTCTGCCCTAAAAAGGGTTTTTAAATAATTTTACCGATGTCAGTGTTAAGTGCATTCAAAAAAAGTTAGATTCCCATTTTTAGTCAACACAGTTGCCGGTTGTATATATAATATAACAAGTCAAACGGCAAACCCTAGCCCCTAGGCTCTGACAAGATATAGGTATTATAGATAACAGAACCATTAAAAATACCAAAAGAGCTTTTCGTAATTCTGTTTATGTGTGGAGACTGGAGCGTAGAAACAATAATTTTAAATAGTTTATTGTAACGTGTATGTATTTTAACTAAAATATAAAGCAATTACGAAAATTGTCTTATGTAAAGGATTCAAGGACTCTCACTTAAGCGCTCAATTTGAACTAAAAGCATTAGCTGATAACTTAACAAAAGTGTTTTCTTAATTATTTTAATGGACTTGTACAATTAATGTAACATTATGATATTTTATTCAAGTCATCAAAACATAACAAATGAACGAGTTTTATGAATTGGTAGTTTGCGTCAAAATTGTTGAGTCGATATAAATACGCGTCCAAGTAAAATATGGCTAAACCTGAATTCCTCTCGAAAGATATTTTAGATGAGGAGTATATTAAATCCTTTGAGCCTTTCCATCATCTCCAAATGGCACTAGGATCGTGTCGTGTAAATATTCGTGACAGATTCGTAAGCTCACCAACTACCGCGCAAAAGATTTTCTCTATCTGTTGTGTTATCATCACATTGGTCCTATACATATATACCACTACATCATACTTTATTCGATACTACGATTTCGCCGGCATCTACGTCACAAGTATCATTAGTATTGTCATGTATTACATAACATTTTTCTTTCACATAATTCATGTAAGATTTATCAATTGCAATAGCAACCCAAGATTTTACATTCAACTTCAAGAAATCGACCGTCTCATGAACGTAAACAAAAATGAAAAGTTAAACAGAGTTTTGTATTTGAATAACGCGGCATCCGCGGGCGTTTCAGTACTTGTATTACTGATGGCATTTTGTTTAACAATGTATGAGAATGCACATTTTTTTATGGGAATCGTTGGACTTCTATATAGTGTTTTAACATGCATTGTAGAATGGATGTACTGTGCAGATTTATTAGTGTATTTCTTTTTAAGAATACGGTTTATCAATGCAATTATTATCAATCATCTTCAGGGTACAGTCGGTCCTTTTAAATACAGGGCCATTAATTTGCCTACATATTATTTTATACGTTGCTTAGCCTCTGAAACACATGATTTTCAGACTAATTGTGTTGACTTGTACCTTAAAGCTCTGTTTGAAGGATTTACATCATTTCAAAACCATTACAGATTTCAAGTAAGTAAATAGGATATATTTTATTTATCTAGCAATTAATACGGTCTGAATAAGTATAAAACGAAACTAAACGTGCGTTACACAGTGATGCCAACTCCCATATAATGATCCCACTAAAACCAACATCAAGTCCCCATAAATATCGATTAAAAACCCGTTATGTATGTTGAGAAGTAATTTATGTAACAACGCTTGGAGTTTATATTTAGTTTGGTTGTTGGATTCTAGCCTTAATCTAAGTTTTCTAGAATCGTGCGTTTTTTAAAGAAAATCTTGTACAAAGGACCTCGTAACCCATCTTGATTACCCCTGCATCACATACGTCATTACGTTTATCCAATCACGATAAGAAGCACTGTTTCGTAATTTGTTTTTAATATTCTAATGATTAGAATAATTCAACACATGGTTATTTTTACAGATGCTTTTATTTTGTAACCAATTTGTACTACTATCTTTGCTGACATTTGAAATCGGATTGGGAGCACTTCAATATAATGTAAGTGAATTCTGTTAAGGAAGCACGAGCAAAATATTCATCGAAAGTACAATCATTCGTACTTACATCAAAATATTTAAAAAAGTCACTATTGGGACCAGTTTTCCCTCCTTGCACTTCGATAACGATCCCCTTTCAGTACGACCAATTGGATTTATACCCACAGCCTAGGTTTAAATATAATCTCCTAATTAACCTTTTTGCAGGCACTTCGCTGGTCGGAATTAATAACATTGCCAACAATTTTAATTTGTAATACGCTACTGGCTATATTCCTTTGCATTCGTTGCGAAGTATTTTACCGTGAAACGAAAAAGACGAAACGCTTATGTATTACCATGATGTCCCGATATTGTGATGGTGAGTTGTTCGTTTGTATTGAGCACGGTGCGGTGGTTACTTCCCCTTACAAACATTTTGTAAAACATAAAACAAAGCGATTAAAATAAGTGGGGGAGAGTTAATTACCAGGAACTTAACTCTGTAACTGTAAGAAAGCAGTGTTGGTCTAGTGTAAAACGTCGATGGCGTGTGTGTCAGGCACAGAAGGTCGATCGCCTACTTACCTATTAGATTGACAAATGATCATGAAACAGACACAGAAATCTGAAGCACTTTCAATGGCGATACCGATCTTAATTATATATTTCTATCATCCCAAAGTTGCGACATCAGGGCTACTACGGATATTTAGAGAACTACATCGAACTTGCATACAAAAAGGTCGAGCGTCGTGTCGCTGTCGCTATTGGAAGTTCTACGTCTCGTCTGTTCTACGCCCTTGATTTGAGAATTGGCAGTAAATGTAAATTCAGATTATTTTGTTCATTAGCGTACATGTAAAAAACTTATATTTAGATTTTATTTTGCTTAGTATCACAAAGTAGTTCATACTGCTGTGCTGTGCCAACAATTTTTTATCCACAGAGTATCATACACAAGCAAGAAGCACTAACACGGTGGTGTATATTGTTTCAGGACCTTTAAGAGATAAAGCTAAAAGGATCTTAAAAATCATTGAACAAAGACCGGTCAAATTCAACGTGTACAATATGTGGTCCATGAATGCGTTAACAGTTATTAGAATGCTTAATACCGTTACTACAATGATGGTGGTCTTACTCCAATTTACGTTTCTTTAAATTATGATGTTATGAAAAAATTGGAAACATTAGTTAAAAGGGTCACCAGATCTAGAAAATAGTAAAAAATATTTATTTTGGTCTTTGATTTACGAGCGGTAAATGTGGATTGTGGTAACGAAAAATTTACTCTACAGAATGCGGAAATTTAGTGTTGCCATTAATATTTCTTCATTAATTTTGTAGTTAAGCAACTTGATTTTTAGTAGAAGCAATTGGTGAAATTATGAATTATATTAATATACATATTATCTTAATAAAAATACTTATGCTTTCATTTCTTCAAAAATTAGAATAATTCTAAAAAAAATCGACGAACTCTAGTCATGTGTTCTTTTTTATTGCTATTTTCGTTCCTTAGATATGTAAACTTTTTTATTAAACGCTGGAATTTAAAACGACAACTACAGATCATTAAAAGTATAAAACAATAAAAAAAACCTTATTTTATGTTCCGATAAAACATGATATATGAGAGATTATGCAAGTTACTACTTAAATATTGCAAAAAATAATACACTTCTGGACACATCTATTGGCCCACCTTGCATTTTCAGTTTCTTTTGGTCCTACCTAAAAATTTATGTTAGGTCGAGTAAGAAGTTTTTATGCAGTTTTGAACCTGATACATTTTACCATCTTTTTCGATCGTATTGTTTGAAATTTGAATTTAGAATACCACACCACATGGAGGTACGCCTGACAAGTCGGGTATGCGCCTTGATGAAGTCAGTTGATTTTTGAATAAAAAACGTGTTATATCAAATAAAGGCTTAATCTAATAACGCGTGTTGCCTCCATGGTCATCTACGTTAGCTCTCATACGATTAGGCATAGAGTTTATCAACCGCTCTATGATTGCATTATCATGCATAAATAGGAAATTTGGGCCCACATAGTCCGCGTATGGCATCACGTGAGGTTCTAAGCACTCAAGAATGTACCTTTCAGCATTCAATGTTGGCAGCCGTGGACCCGTAACAACCTTAAGTTGAGATTTTCCGCTCGCGGATATACCGCCCCAGACAGTCCATGAGCCACCGCCATAAGCAACCCTCTCTTCAAAGCAGCATTGTGCAAAATGCTCTCCCTTACGTCGTTAGACCTTCTTCCTTCCATCATTGCCATGTAACGCAATTTTAGACTCATCAGAAAAGAGTACACCGTTCCAATGCTGCTGAGACCAATTAAAGTGTGGGCGCGCGAAATGAAGGCGCTCTATTCGGTGGGCTCGCGTTAGTTTTGGGCCGTTAGCTGGCTTGTGTGGTACCATATCGCGTTCTTTTAATCTTCTCCGAACAGTTCGAGCGCTCACATTTACTCCATGGAAGTCGCGAAGTTGGTTTTGTATCTCAATGGAGGTAAGGTGACCATTTCTCAAGCTGGTCGTCACGATGAATCGATCCTGCCTTTCAGTTATGACCCGAAATCGTGGCCTTCCTTGGCGACGAACAAAGCCGCCAGTCTCTAGGTGTCTCCGATAAACGTTTCGGACCGCAGATCGACTTAAATTAAGTTGATCATGCACATTTCTTGGGCTGTGTCCGGCCCGGATAAGTGCCACAGCTTGGGCGGCGACTTCAGGCGAAGTATCCATAGATTAATGATAGAACCTCATCTTAATGTTAAGAATAAGTAATGTTTGTTGCAAAATCAAAGAGAAAAATCACACTTTCAAGAATTAATTCCAACTAAACCAATAAAATCAAGTTTTCTTAGTATTCGGTTGTTTGATATCAATGAGCAGGCTCCAAATTGTCTTTTGTTTCTTTAAATTCTGTGTTCGAAATTTAAAAAAAAATATTGAATGCAATTATGAATGTGCCAGGTTCAAAACTGCATAAAAACTTTTTACTCAACCTAATATAAATTTTTAGGTAGGACCAAAAGAAACTGAAAATGCCAGGTGGGCCAATAGATGTGTATTACTGAAGATACATACAATAAAAGTCTGGTAAAATTTAAAATCTATATTTATTTTCTATATCAATAATGTTTGTACAAAAAGGACACTGATTGGACGGATTCAATTGTATATAATAACTACAATAGCTTACATTAAATTGTTTATTAAAAGTATATTATACTTCCAAATTAAATGTAATTTATAACATATTAATATTAAACAGCCTTCCGTAGAAATGGACTGGGCAGATTATTATGATTCAGGATCCTTACCGTCAACTTGCCCAGCATTCATTTCTCCTTAGAAATGGACCAGAAAAGTAACAGAGTGGTGTTCAGGTTACAGAAAGCGTAGTAAAGAAGAACCAAATAAGTTATGGTCATTTAGTTAGTCTGCTGAGTTTGGTCTTCACAAATGATATGGAAAGTCATTGGTGGTGTCATACATAATCATTAGAATAAGATGATTATGTTAACACAACACATTTATATCCCTTTCCAAAAGGCATTTCATTTTTAAACATATACACAAAAAGAAATGTGTGTATAAAATCAATCCATTTTACTTGGATAAAATAATTGTATTCTTATTTTGGAATGTAAGTTACCTAATAAATGGACATTTAAAATCAACAAGAATTAAAAATGCATTCTGTACAAAAATATGTAGAATAAATATACTTGTTAATTTAAGAACCTATGCATTGTTACATTTGAAATTCAGTCAGATTCACTGTGTGAACAATGATCACAGTTGTGCATCACTGCACAATATTGTCTAGTCTATAGGCTGTTCTGCATGGCTAGGTCAGAACAATGCTTTGTATAGAAAATAAATAAATATTGTTGAAATGCTTGAATTCAACATAGTAGAACTATTGCATCTATGGTCCAGGAAACAGAAGCACCAAGTTGTTTCATCATACCATTCTCTGCAAGAATAAACACGAAAATTATAATACATAAAACTAGTGAATTATAATCTACTTCTGATTCCTAAAATGCTGGCAACACTTGCTTAGCGAGTGTCTGTGTCTAGTAGGTGTAGTCCTAAATGGACTAGACTATTCAGGTTTATAAAGAAAGTAACAAAACAATTGTTCTTAATCCTTAGTAGGAAGTTTTTGGTATCCCAAGGATATGATACAGACACATTTCTAGCTCAATGATCAGGTTTTTTTCATGAAGGTTGGCGCCTACATAAACATTTTAAGCGATAAATTAAAAGTATATACATATATATATATATATATATATATATATAGTTTTTTGATAAATAAGTTAAAATTTCATTAAAAAAAAATTCTTCAACTTGTCTGTCAAAATGTTTAACTAAGCAAATAATGTAAAAGAGAGCAAAGGTATATTCCAGGTTGATAAGAAGATTTTTTTATTTAAAGTAAATCCCTAGAAACACAAATTAAAAAATATTTTACCTCTTAATATCCAGTTCTTTTATAGTGTTATTAACATAGTTTGCTAGGTTAACATCCTTTGCTGCTGCTCGACAGCCTTCATATGTATCAGCAGGGATGTCTGTTCGGAATGCTCTGAAGTTGCTTAAACAGTCTCGTGTTATTGTTTTTTGAGCTGTAAATATAAGTTTTTTATTTAATAAAATAGCTTATATTAATGACAATTTTACTTTTAAATCATATACTAATTAAACAAGATTTTTTAAATTACCTCCTTTCCTTTCTATAAGTTTTACACAAATATCTTCACTATCAGGACATGGGTTGCCAAGGTAACCAATTCCCTTCCAATTGAAAGGCTCCATGCAGCCAGGTATTGCAGAATTACACTGATAGCACCATATTGCTGTGCCTAATATAATGTAAAGTTGAGACTGTTAGTCATTAAAATAAAACATTAAAAACCTAATATACTAAACATTGTATTCATAAGAAATTTCATTAAAGAGAATAATAAATATTGTTAAAACCACACACTATAATGCAGTTTTTACTTCTACTAAATTTTACCTCTAAACACATTAGTTTAGCAGTTGAAATTCACCGATTTTGAGTAAAAAATACTTTTTCTGGTAGTATTGGAATACAAATACAAAGTTATATTAAAGAAATAAAGTTTGCCACACCCAAACTTTAAATAATAAATAACGTGTTTATGTTAACTCACATTCATGAAGACACAAGGCAAGTAGTAAACCAATCAATAAATGTACGCCTTTCATCATTAGAGCGATCAAGTTTATAAGGATACTATATTATATATTAAAGTTGTTTGTTTGTAACTTTTTAAAACAATTATCATTCGAAACAATCGAAACAAACATAAAACAGTAGTTAGTGATGTGCCACTGCCAAGTGCCAAATGACTATCCGAATCAGTGTTGCCAACGACACCGGGACTGATATCGCCATTTTTCACAGCATAAGTAGCCTAATGTAGCCGAATTTCAGGATAGTGTAGCCTAAAAATGAGCCGAAATATAAAAATAAAATAAAATTTTAGTGTATATTTATTTTTAACTTTATATATACTTAATCCAAAACACTCGTAACAAATATCTGTAGATCGTACAAACATGATATTTTGTTCCGAGGCCGGAATCAAACCCGCAACCGCCACCACCACCGAAAGAGTTCCTAGAGATTTCTTGCCTGCCTGACTGGAGGACAGGGCCCTCTTAAGCAGTAAAAAACATTAGTTCACTTACTTTTAAATGCTGGTATTTTTTTCCTATCCTTCGCGATAAAGATAATGGTTCACATATTTGCCGTGTTTTCCCATGCTTTTTTTCACAAAAATGATGGCTTTGAAATTACTTGCTACACGCACTGGTTATGTTGAAGTTGAAGAACAAAGTGACAAAGCGAACGAAACGAAAGGCAAAACATTTTCCCGAATTTAGTCAGTATAATATAGATAATTGCGGTAGTCACTAACAGCAATATAGGTAGGTACATTTGAAAGTACTACCTCCTAAATTTTGTTTCTGGGTATTCTCCGCCCGGAAACTTACGACTTTAATATCTTATACAGATCTTAGAGTGACTATGATTTTTGATAAAAGTAGTTTATTTGCGATTCATGACATGTCCTTGAAGTAGCCTAATAGGCGGCCTTTCAGATATTTTCATCGCCAATTCTGGTCCTGAGTAGCCTAAATGGCGATAAATCGCCTACGTTGACCACACTGATCCGAATCCCGAGTAACGTCGCCATACGATCGAAATTTGCATCGGATCGAATCCATAATCGCCGCCGACAGGTGGCTGCTATCAACTGTTCATATTGTATGTACCGGATCGCGATTAAAAGTTAGACTTTAGAGATTTGTCAATATAGTATAGGTATGTCATTATTGAGTGTTCAAAGTACATATGAAAGTCCCAAAGTTGCTCGACTTCGGCCAACTGCTCGGGTCTCAATTCAAAAGGTGGTTTTAGAGCTTCCTTGGAGTCAGTTAAATCGAAAGGCGCAGTAGGGTCTGGAGGTGGCTCTTCAACATATCCCTCTTCTTCTTCTTCCACTGCCTCTTCGACAGGTGGAGGTGGTTCTTTTTCTCAGTTTCTTCCCCTTCTATCGAATCCATAATCGCCACCGACAGGTGGCTGCTATCAACTGTTCATATTGTATGTACCGGATCGCGATTAAAAGTTAGACTTTAGAGATTTGTCAATATAGTATAGGTATGTCATTATTGAGTGTTCAAAGTACATATGAAATTTTCAAATTTAACCAATTATTTTAAAATTTATTAAAAATTTAAATTAATGCAAACGTAATTAAAACTTTTATAATTTTGATAGTTAACAATACTACTTAAACGCAGTAGTATCATAAATCAAAAGCCTAATACTTTATGATTATGATTTAAAATACTTTAACTTTAACTTCCATTGTGAAATTTCATGCAACCATTCTTATTTCAAATTAATGTCAAATATTATTTATAATATAATATGTAGTTATTTCATGCAGTTTTTATAAAAGATTTTTTGAAAGTACAAGTTTCTATGCACTTGGCATGGAATCTTGTACATACTAATATAAAAAATCTTTGAAACTGATTATTCGGTAACTTTCCGATCGGATAAGAAAGTTCGGTAAAATTAATTTGATTCTTTTCCTCCAAGTTTCCTAGAGCAGCGGACTCATTTCTGTGCTGCTACTTCCTAGTGTCAGGCCAGCAGCACCCAATGTGTTCCGATCTGCTGTCACATTCAGATTGACAATATCTAATAATTGGAATAACTTTTTATATGCCACGCTAACTTTGTTGTAGAATTTAGACGCAGGCATCGCTTCAACTGTGCCACGATAAACTTGAGAAATTGATAACAAATCTTATATTTTATATGCAGCGTCTCTAAATTAAAACTAATTGTTACCACACGGAACTTTTTTTCAAAAAGGTTACACAAAGATATTTTCGAAAGTGTCTATAAATAAAAAAACTTTAAAATATGAAAGAGGTAGAGGAGGATAAAAATTCGAAGTTGGTACAAAACTTTTTCTTTTCTTTTAATACATGAATATATTCAAATAATATCCTGCAAAAAAAATATAAATTTACAACTTTCGAGAATTAGTGTGCTCTAAAAAAGTAGTGACAAAAAAGGCCTGGCTACACACATCAACTTTTAATAAAAAGTGTAGCCATGCATTCTGATAAATTTGCTATGGTTCCTCAGCAGGCGCTTGATCTTCTGGTGGTTGTAATGATGCCATAAGCATTAACAAATCCTCTTTATTCAGATCTATGCACATAGTGCCAACAACATCTTCAATTCCTATTGTTCCATCATTGCTCATGTCTACTTCTTTAATTAAATTATCCAATTGTTTCTGAGGCATTTTGTAACCAAGCTTAGAAAGAGTCTCTTTTAAAAATTCCCTGTCAATAGTTCCGGTTCTGCCTGGATCCATAACTTGCAATGCCGTCCGTAATTCTTCTTCAACTGGGAAGTCTCTTTGCCGTATGGTTACCATCTTCAAAAACTGTTCAAATATTATATGACCTTGAGGATGGGGTGGTCTTACACAATATACTATCAACTCTTGTAATTGCTCCGGCGTAACAGTCATCAGCATCAGACATTTTAGCATATAAACTAATTCTTTCTCAGTTATGTATCCGTCAAGGTCGGCATAAGCAGGTGTACAGTTTTGATAAAAGTCCCAAAGTTGCTCGACTTCGGCCAACTGCTCGGGTCTCAATTCAAAAGGTGGTTTTAGAGCTTCCTTGGAGTCAGTTAAATCGAAAGGCGCAGTAGGGTCTGGAGGTGGCTCTTCAACATATCCCTCTTCTTCTTCTTCCACTGCCTCTTCGACAGGTGGAGGTGGTTCTTTTTTCTCAGTTTCTTCCCCTTCTACATGCTCTCCTTCCAATTCTTCGCCCATCATTTCCTCCCCTTCACCCACAAGCTCTTTATGTTCCCCAAGTAATTCATCTTGCTCATCATGTTCGCCAACCACCGTTTCACCTTCAGTTCTCTCTGTAACCTCTCCCTCCAGTCCTTCCTGATCCTCAGTTTGTTCATCGGTCCTAGTTTCAGTATCTGCCTGACCTTCGACATTATTGTCGCCTTCTTCAACTTCTTCGCCTTTTGGCTGTTCTTCGCTAGGTACATTTTCTTCTTCCATATTACTTCACAATAAATTTTATCGTAAAAACACTTTATATACTCACAGATTTACGATAAGAGACTCATTCATACTAAAAATTTATCATTGCGTGGTGCTCTTCCAAATTTCTTGCGAAGAATAATTGTTAAGTTATCAGTTATTTTATCATAGAGGCTTAAACTTACAATCGTAAAAAAATCTAGAATATTTATAAACTCTTCTAAAAGAACATATCGAATATTGTCAATGAAATCGAACATTTAAAAAAATCAATCTTGTATAATTCATAATAATCAACAAAAATAAAAATTGACACCAGTCTTGTCCATGACTTTTTTATTTTTCATACAGAGATATAATATGTACACAGAAAACATTACTATTAACTATCATTAGTTTCTCACAATTTAAGATTTTTAAATATCTAATATGACGCAACATTTTATGATAATCTAGGAAAATGCAAAGTTCGCATCCTCCCACGATGCAACCGTTTACTTTCATAATAACATTGAGATGCATCACGTGCTTTCGCGAGAGAAAGAAGCTACGTTGGTGAGCGGAATGTCGTGCCCGTGGTTCGCTACCTTTGGATCCTACAGTCCACACGCCTCACTCCTATTAGTCTATACTCTATGCATAAGACGAAAATCGCGGTAGCGTACGCATGCGTTCTGTATTTAAATATTTTACGCGCTCTTAGCACTAAATGGTAGAAGCTCAAAGTTTTGAAAAGTGATTTTTTTAAATGGTAAGTTTCACACTTTTTTCACGGAAACGTTTAAATCAAATTCAAAAATGTACAATATTGCATTATACATAATATATACATAATTTTAAAGGTTTTCATTTCACAAGAAATTTATGAAGTACACTATATCTCATACAATATCTCTCATTACGCATTCTTCAAATAAACGTCCAAACAATCAACTGCCTACTACTGCATGACAATAATAATACTTTTTTAATGCATTAAAGTAATTTTATTAAATCGATTCTTTCTGGATATATCTGAATCGTCTTTTATTAATATTATAATGCAAATAACAAGAAAACCTATCCATTCAAGTTATCCCGTAACTGATATGATAATTGCGGGCATTTTTGTATAATGGGTCGCGATTTTCCCATGGTCCGCACGCGGAATGCTTTGAAGTGGATTGATTTATTGAAACGTTCTTAACACAATATTATTTTTTTATTTTTAAACCAACCAAATAAGTGTACCTAACAATAATACTTCGGGTTAGTTATTTCTTTCTCGGCAACTGCGTGTATAGAATTCTGCTTTATAGCAGACTTTCTGCCTCAAGTTTAATTAAAAAAGTTTTGTAATTTCATCAAGTAGTGGTGCATTGCCGTTAGTCATTTGTCTTGCGGTATCTATGAATCAATTTTTCATTACCATTCTTCATGAATTACTTGTAGATAAGAACACTAGGGGTAATTTAGACTCGCGAGGTGAGGCTAAGTCTGACTCCGGTACGTCATAAATGTATTTTGACGTTCGGTAGTCGCAGTTCTTGTCAGGAGTAACTTAAACGGAGGTCGATTCTTTAATAATAGTTATTTCGGGTTCAGAGGCCTAGAACCACAGAC